ACTGTTCAGAAGCCGAGTAAGTTCAAAAGTTTTTAAAAAGTTTGGGTCTTCTCGAAAAAACAAAAACAAAAAAGAAACAAGGAATGAGTATGAAAGGAGAGAAGAGGAAGAAAAAGAGATTTATGGGTGGCACACGGCACAACATGCCCTCATCATCAATATTAACGTTTATTCCGCACTCTGGGAGCGTGGAATGCGGCAAAGGCATGACTTTGAAGCTTGGAAACATTTAACAAGAATAAAGAGCTTTGCTCCTTTTGCGCTGGCTTGCGCTCTCTTTGAAAACTCACGCTCCTGCTCCTGCCCCGGTCGCGGTCCACGACGGCCGTGTGTTGTGTTACAGGTAGTCCTACCAGGGGGTCTGCCAGCGGCGGGCGCGGGTAGACGAGGGACCTCCACAAAGTGGCTCCTCCGAGGGAACCCCACTTCCCGAATAAGGGCACAACGAGTAACGAGTTGTCGCGAGTCAGGAGTCGGGTGCGAATTGCGCACAATTTTTTTAAAGTCTTCCGGAAATTTGGCGCGAGTGTTCGCAAATTTTCGCAAGTTTTCGCAAATTTTTGCGAGTTCGACACGAGTTCGACGCGAGTTGGGCGTGGGCAAGTGTTGGCAACGAGTTGGCTAGTGGGGGACCCCTCGGCCACTTCCCACCCTCACCATTTAGACGATGCGGAGTGTGTTTTTGTACGTGTCGTGTCGCCTCTGCCGTTGCCATTTCCTTCTACCTAACTACTCATGGTAAATTCTCGAGTTTGAAAGATTTGGTTCTTATCAAGATCTGGCAAAATGCACTCATAGTTGATTTTACGACAACCGCCCACTTTGTCAATGAATTTGATGCCCGCATGTTACCCACCTTGGCGAAGACACATGCTCTTGTTTGGCCCTCCCTACGGACACGACGACATAGCACACTGGGTCAGTGTCAGTCAGCTGTCAGCTGACATGTCAGCTGGCCGCGCCCGCTTGGCGTCTGTTGCACCGCGTCACGTACCGCATGGTGCGTATACAGGACCGCATCTTGTGGATCACTTCCTCCTGGAACAGAGAAGGTTGAAGAGTGTTGTAGAAAGGGAGCAAGAGATAGCAAAAGAGGGAGGGGAAAATGGAGGGGGGATAAAGGTCGGGGAATGGTGTCATGTTGACCATGCCGGCTTCCGTCGTCCACAAGCTCGGGTAATTGGAATGAACTCCCCGGGTGGAAATACATGCGAATTTTTTCACCGCATGCCCCCATTTAAGCCCCCCTCCCCCTCTTTTTCTTCTCACTCATTTTTTTTTTTCACCGGGATGCTGGTGGTATGAATGCCACAAACAATGAGGGATGAGATGAGGCTTTGTCCCCCGCCCCCTAGATTGGGCGATAGCGCCCTCTAGAGTCACAGCTGGTGGCTGAAATTAATTAACATTGGGACCCGACCAGGCCAGGGTAGAGAGCAGGCGGACATAGGGGAGCAAGGGAGAAAAATAGATAGAGAGAGAGAGAGAGAGAGAGAGAGAGAGAGAGAGAGAGAGAG